TTTGAAGTTCAAGTAGATGCCCTTTCCCTAAGGTTATATCTTTCACTTTGCTATTCATAAAAGGACTCCTTTTAATTTGGGAAGGGGGCTTTTTTTTTTTAATTCCTAAATGTAACATACAAATTGTCATTTTTATTAGCAGAAACTTACTGATATATTTAATAATTTCTATTCTTGGTTCCTGCTTATGGTATCATGTAGAGTTTTCTCAGCTAAATGTAGGAGGTTCTGACGTTATTACACAACTAGTATTTATATCCAAAAGAGGGCTTGATGGAAATCTAATGTTATAATAATATTAAATGACAAAGTTACTGCATTTACGCATCTAAATATGTGCCATGAAGCATTTTATCATATTCTCATTATTTGTATCAGCTACATTTATGAAAGTGTGGTATATAGAAGACTTAAACTCAGTATTTGTAGGATTGTTTATTTCCTACTTATGGGAATTTTTTTTTTTTTTTTTGCATGGTAGATCATGATGTCGTAGAGGGCTGCTTCCTCAGCCTCTGATAATTTCTAACACTGGACACCTGAGATTCTACACTTCTATCACACATGCATTTAAGTTGCATTACCTTCAAGCTGCAATCTGAGGTTGTTTCTTTTGTCTCTGTGATCTACAGCCTCTCTTCTTCCCCTTCATCACCCTTCCCCCATCTGCCTCTGTTTTGAATCACTCTTTGCCAAATGCTAGAAAAGATACTATATTGATTTTAATCATCCATTTATTAAGATTATATATGCAAGTATTTCCTCTCATCTAATCACTATTTAATTGAATAATTTGGGACTCAGTAATTTTAGCTCATCAAAATAACTTGAAGAAGATAGATCTATAAAATTGTGAACATTAGAAGAATATATGTGTTTATTACATTGGTTTTGACATTTGGGATAGATGAGACATCCGTTTGTGACCTGAGCCAAAAAAGGCAGATGCTTAACAGACTGGGCCACCCAGACACCCCTAAATAAGAATTGAAGAATGGTAATTATCTGTGTGGAAAAGTAATTCTTTTGGATTTTATGGGATATGAATTAACAAACTGCAGGCTGTGGGCCATATCCTGCTTGCTACTTATTTTTGTGGAGTCTGTAAGCTAAGAATGCTGTTTACATTTTTAAATGTTTAAAAAAATCAACAGAAACATATTTTGTGACACATAATGTGAAGTTTAAACATCAGAGTACATAAATAAAGGTTTATTAGAACACAGCCATGCTCATTCATTTATCTATTGTCCATGGGTGGGTCTATGGGTGATTTCTTGCTACAGTGACAGAGTTGAGCATTTGTGACAGAGACCATAGATGGCATTCCCTTCACGTCACACTGCTGCTTCGTGCATTACAGATCCTAGTGACATTGTTCTAACTCAGTAGCATTTTGAGTGCCGCACATATTGCTCTATTACAGCATTTGAATGGCTTTTTGTTATCAGCCCATGCTGATCATGTCAAAACCAAAAAAGAGAATAGATTTTGAATATTACACCTTTTAAAATTTTTAAAATTTTAATTCCAGTGTAATTAACATGTAAGTGTTATATTTGTTTCAGGTGTACGATAGAGTGATTCAACAATTCTATGTATTACTCGGTGCTTATCAAGATAAGACACAGTAGAGTGTGGATTATTTTGTTATTCAATTAGATGGCAAAGTATTGTGTTTATTATGTAATGACACTATGGCTGTGCTAAATGATACAATATATGTTGACATTACCAGTCTAAATACTCATTTCAGTATTACCAACTTGCAGGAGAGCACTAGTGAGAAAAATTATAAAATTTAAAATGGAGGGGCACCTGGGTGGCTCAGTCGGTTAAGTGTCTGCCTTCAGCTCAGGTCATGATCTCAGGTTCCTGGGATCGAGCCCCGCGTCGGGCTCCCTGCTCAACGGGGAGTCTGCTTCCCCTCCCCCTGCTCCTGCTCGTACTCTTTCTCTCTCTTTCTTAAATAAATAAATAAAATCTTTAAAAAAATTTTTAAATGGAATACCTCAGCACAGCAGACTTTTTTTAGAAAAATATGAAAATGAGGATGCAACCAAAATAAGTTTCTGGGTGGCTCATTTGTTATCTGAACAGGGAAAGGCATTTACCACTGGTGAATTAGTGTTTCACTGCGGTAACTAAGGAAATAGGAAATATGTCTAGAGAAAATAAACTTAGTCTGTAGTCTGTTAGTCTTTCAGTGAGAACATTCACTTGAAGAGTGAGAAGATTGGGAGCTACCTCTTTAGTTAATTTTAAAAATAAATGATTTCAAGTGGCTTTCCCTGTCTCTTGATAAGTCAGCAGGTGTGATCAAAACTGCTCAGTTGTTTGTTTGAGGAGTCAATGCCAAGTCTGACGTGACTGAAGAATTACTCTCTAGGAATAGTTTTTGTGGCTCAACTACAGACAAGAATATTTTCAAAGAGATCGAGAAAACACTAATTCAATACAAACTGAAATGTTACAAATGATGGTGTTAAAAATGTGTGGATCAGAAAGAGGCTTAGTTGAACAAATTTACAAAGCTTGTGAAAATGTTAGGTGTTTACCTAGTATGATTATTCATTGTATTTTTCATAAGGAGGCACTTCATGGAAAATTATTTGTATCTAAACATGTGTTCTTAAACTAATAATGTCAGTAATGGCCTTCATTTGCTCTCAAGGACTTGACCATCATCAGTTCCATGAATTTTTTGTCAAAAATTGAAATTGAATGTCCCCACTTGTCCTATCATGTAGGATTTTGATAAGTTAGAAGTAGTAAAGTTTTATTGTGATTTTTTTTTTTGAGGTCAGAGCCAAGACTGAAATTTTTCTAAATCAGAATTTCCCTCAACCACTGTTATTCAACACTGAATTCCAAAAGCTTCAGAAAAATTAACTTGTGCTAAAGACTTGAATATTTTCCTAATATATTCAACCTAAAATTACAAGATAATACAGTGCTTATATGCAGAATTTATACTGTAGTAAAAATCATTTAGATGACAACTAATGTTCCTTGAATCCCAGGTAATGGCAGGCTATTGTATATACTTCCTGTGCCATCAAACATTAAAACATGAAGCAAGATTACCATTCCCACCAAATTTGTAGCTGATGTATTTTCTAAGCTCAAACTACATTTCTAACAGTGAGTTTTGGACCTCTGTACAAGTATTTCAGCATTTCAAAAATCCATTCAACTGTGCAATTAAGGAGTTCCCACCTAACTTTCAGTTAGGAGTGATGAGTCTGCAATGTAATGACATGCTAAAAAGCATGCAATGTAATTTTATAAATGCCTTCTAAGCTGTAAATATACTCAATTAAAGTCATATGCTTATGATTGTTATTGATATTTGGCAGTATCCATCTATGTGAAAAGATCCTTTCAAAGATGAAATACATGAAATCTCATTATATATCTGCTTTAACAAATGAACATTTACATTTGATTTTGATGATGAGCACTAACTTTGAACCCCAATGAAGGGAAAAATTATTACCTTCAAAAGATTTCTGTCCTCATTAATACACCGGTGTTATGATGAATTGTACCCAATTATTATTATATTTTGAATTTTTCAATGAGATATTTGTTTTCTCTTTGTTATGTTAGTACCTACGTAATATCCTTGATTTTGTCTCTTGATGGCAAAGCCTAAAATATTTATTTTCTAGACCTTTACAGAAAATGTCTGCTGAGTCCTATTGTAGGGAATGCTGCCAATTTAACCCATTCGGCTGTCTGAATCAACCTTGTCAATCAATGGAACAATAAATAATGCAGTACTCTCACATTTTAAGCAGGACTGTCGTTTTATCAAGTTTGTTTTTTGCTGTTCTCATTTATAGTCTTAGTTCAAGTTTGGTATTTGGTTTGAATGAGTGACTGGGAAAGATTTGGAAATATGTGAAATATTAGAAGGCAGGTGACATGTTAAAAGGATATTGTGATTAAGAGACACAAAAAAATCACACAGAAGAAGGCAGCTGGATTTGTTGGTTGGGGTGGATTAGGTTGTGTGTTTAGGAGATAAATATATTTAGTAGAAACTCATAACTTTTGTTTGGTTGATTAGGAGCTATTTTCTGTTTAATCTTGAGAAAAGCTAATAAAGATTTGTGTCATGGTGTAGAAGGTCACCCATAAATTGCTATGCTGCTGCAATTATATTTTAAGAAAGAGATCATAAGAAATGTTTTTTTTCTTCAATTTATGTTGCAGTCATAGAGAAAAAGAGATGTCAGAAAAATTACTTGAGGCAACTGTAACCCTTTTCTGTTTTTTTATTTTTTTAATTAGCCCAAATGTCACAATGAATGTGACAGTATTGGAAGTTTATAATGTATAGATTTTTAGGAAGATACATTTCTGCAAGAGTGCTATAAGATTTAGATAATGATGGCCAATGGTTTGAGGATAGAAAAGTTTCTGTATAAGTACTGAAAACTTGTTACTATCTACAGTTGTTTTTGGCTTTTGTGTCTTTAACATTAAGTCTTTAAAAATTATCCAGCTAATGCTTGCAGATGATAAAATCCATAAAACCTTACAAAAGGGGGTACAGTGGAAATTAAAGCTTTCCTTTTTATAGATCCCATTTGTACCTTCCTGTGTTAATCGGTGAAAAAAGTTCATGTATCTTTCCAGAATGTATATACAAGCATATCCATGTATATAAATTGTTTTCTTGACTTAAATGGGCTTATTCTATGCATACTTTTTTGCATTATCCTCTTTTCTTAATATATATGAAATATAGTGAACAGTGTTTTAATGCTTACATGTAATAAAATTTAATGTAGTTATTTATAGATGGGCATTTATTTTCATTTTTTTCCTATTGCTAGGGGTGGAACTGAAATTTTACTTTATTTTAAATTAAATTACATGTGGCTACCGTTTTGGACATCACCATCTTAGATGTATGAATGCTCAGGGTGTGTGCATAAAGTGAATATAACTAACTTACTGATTTATAATGAGGAAACTGTTCATTCTAGGTTGAAAACTTTAGCAGAGGAACTTATGCAGACACAGCAGATGCTTTTAAACAAGGAGGAGGCTGTCTTGGAGCTAGAGAAGAGAATTGAGGAATCTTCTAAGACCTATGAAAAGAAGTCTGAGTGAGTAAAACAAAAATAATTTGCAGGAAGAAAGTTTAATTGATTTAATTTTACAGAATACTTCAGTTACATGTTATCATGGATGTAAAATTTCTAGAAGCTGAAATTTCATTTTCAGTGTAAAACTTAGTGTCATTGAGTTACTTTCTAGGACTCTGGAAAAATGATCTGGGCTTTGTCAATATAGTGGACTGATCATGTCTCAATGTTTTAACAGTTTGAACTATTTTCTGAAAAATCCTGTTAAAAATTGTCTTTATTCCCCTTATCAGTGTCCACCAGATTTCATTGTGCATTCCTTGTTGAGAAAGTGGCAGATTAGTGTTATCTAAAATTGGCTTCTCTGTGTTAGAAGGAAGCAAACACACTTAGAGAAAATAGCAATCTGCTTCACTTATAAAAATCCCTTTAAGATTTGCTGTGCTGATTGTCTTATTTCGCTCAGCATAACACCCTCCAGTTCCATCCACGTCGTTGCAAATGGCAAGCTCTCATTCCTTTTGATGGCTGCATAATATTCCATTGTATATATATACCACATAGAGGGGCGGGGGGTGGGGGGATGGGTTAGCCTGGTGATGGGTATTAAAGAGGGCACGTTCTGCATGGAGCACTGGGTGTTATGCACAAACAATGAGTCATAGAACACTACATCAAAAACTAATGATGTAATATATGGTTATTAACATAACAATAAAAAAATCAAAATTAAAAGAAAAGATTTGCTGTGCTGTTTTGTCTTACTTTCATTTTTCTTGCTGACTTCTGGATCTGTAAATATCCTACTGGATCCTCTTACTTGGGTTGTTTTCACTAATTATGTTGTTTTCACTAATTATGTTTTCTGCTGTTTTAACGTTTACATTTTGATCTATAATTTAAAATCTATGTTTTGGCTTTGGTTATTGCTTGCATCTCCAACAGGTATAACTAGTATGGTTTCTCTACTGACTGGAGCGTATGAATTTCTTGCTATCATTCTCTCATAATTGGCTTGGTTTAGCAAGATTCTTAAGGAAATTGTGATGTGTCGGATTTCTCTGGTCTATACTTGCTCTTTCTATATAACATCTCAAATATTCTCCACTTCTCTCAAGTCTCTGATCCTCTCATCTCCCCCATTATAGACAGCGGATGGACCTCTTCTACATTACAGAAAAATTAGAATCATCAGGTTGCAATTCTGTTATTTTCTATGACTAGATATGCACATCCACTGCATTTGTACCCATTCTCTGTACTTGCTTCCATAGAGGAACTGCTCCTTGTCCTAAGTCTACTTCTTGGGCCCGTTTTTTGTATCTTGTCATCTCATACTTTCTCAGAAATTTTACATTATTTGTCATATTATGTTCATCTTTTCTTCTTAATTGAGTCCAGTGCTCACTTTTTAAATATGCTTATGTCTTGACTCTTAAAAACAATTTCCACCCCGGATAACCCTTCTGTATTCATATTTTCCCCCAACTGCCTTTGTCTTCTGTTTTTTTAGTCATACTTGTGCTAAGAGTAATTATGCTTGCTCATTTGTTCAACTCCCACTTAGTTCTCAACCCACATATATCTAGCTTCTGCCCCATCACCATTGGAATAGGTATCTGTAAGATCTCCAATGACCTATACATTGCTAAATTTAACAAGTATCTTACGTGACCTCCTCTCAGTATCTGATTTTGTTGACTACATGTTTCTTCTTTTCCCTTGGTATTTGGGACCAGATCTTTTGCCTGTCTTTCTGGCAACTCCTTTATAAACTCATTCTCCTCCACTCAGCCAATCCATTTTGGAGTTATTTGAGGAATGGCCCTAGGCTTTATTACTCCCCTCTCTGTATTCTCTCTTTAGGTGGTTTCCTGAAGATGACCCACATTTGTTACTCTTGCTCAGATTTTCCCTCTGAACTCAATGGCCATGTGGTCAATTGCCTACTTGACATGACTGCTTGGATGTCTTAGAAGTACCCTAAATTTCCCATGTCTAAGACTGAATTAAAAATCTCAATACAGCTTAACCCAATTCAACCTAGTTCATTCTTAATATTCCTTATTCAGTGAATGGCAACACCATCTATTCTATTACACAGCTCAAAATATTAGAGGCCTACCTCTCCCACTTATACTATGACTCCTTATTATAACTTGGCGTTAAATATTATATTGGAATCTATGAGCTTTTTAAAGATGAAAAAAGGAAAATTTGAGTTGCTCTGGGCATTCCCTTAATAAATCTGGAAAATTTCAGTATTGCATCAACAGAAGATTCTATTTGGATCAAAAATAAAATTTATCAACCATTGAACATATGACATTCAAAAAAATAATTATATTTTGCTTTTCTGTGTTTGGGAATAATTTCTTCACATGTTTACAGATGACCAAGTAGTTTTACTTTTTACAGTTTTGTAAATGCATACATTATAAATGACTCCTGTTTTAAAATTTAGTGGGTATAAAGAAAGACCATTAGATGCCTGACCCTCTCACTAGCATGTCTGACTATACGTTGTTGGAGGAGACAATCTTTAAGTGTTATCTTAATCTAGAAATTGTGAGATTCTTTGATTTTTTGCTATATTTTCTTGACTCAAATCTTTGACTCTTCATCTACATAATGAATGTGACCCACTCTCCTACACCTATTTATATTTATCAGGAAATGAGAGTGGGGATATAGGAGGGGGGCTTAAAGGGTGGTAGATATGTGGGAAATAACATTTATTGAGTTCTTATGCTGTTCCACATGTTATCTGGATGTTTTATATATATTACCACATTGAATGTTATCTTCACTATGCCTTTTGTGTATTTGCCTGTATTTTACCTGTGTGACTTAGAGAATTTTAAAAAATTACAATTACATACCTAGTCAGTGGTAAAAAAATGCATGAGTTCCTGACTCCACAGCATATGTCTTTTTAATCACAGCTTGATCTTATTATTTTAAGTGTTCTTATGAGAGTCAGTTAAAAGGGATAAGTGTGTCAAGCAGTTCAGGGGATGAGTCCTGTTTAACCCAAATTCTGTTAACCCTTTGTTATTGTGATGTTTTTATTGTTAGCTTCATGGCGTAATCTTGAAAATGTTAAGTACATTTATATAACTAAGCAGTAATTGTGAAATCTCATTAATTTAGCTATTAGTAGGGTTGAAGTTTGTCTTTGACTTATATGTTAAAATATTTTGCTAAACAAATAACCTGAAATTATTTTCTACTGAAAATGTTTGTGCTTTTCAGTTTCTTAATAATTCATAAACATTTCCTTTTTTGGTGTATGTATGTGTATAAATCTACATACATATTTAAATACACTTATATAATTGAAAGCAATTTTAATCTAGTTTTAGAAATAGATTTACAATTTTTTTACTGGACAATACTTTTTTAGCTTCATATACTGTTAATTGGAATAATAAAACAATAAAACAGAACTACAGTTCTTAACAAATGCTAAAAGTATCCTATAAGTTAGATATCTACACTCTTAAATTACTGCAATTATGCTGAATTTTTACCTAACAGAAAGCATTAGTGGTTCTGTTGAAATACAACATAATAAGGAGCTAAAGTTAAAACCTTTAAATTTGAGTTTAACATAAATGGCTCTAAAACATTTTATAGTAACAGGGAAAAAATAAATTATGTAAGAAATCACTTGATAGCTTTGATTCCTGTAATTGAATAATCTAAAGTGAAAAATAAACTTAAAGAATGGTTTTTATGTGACATTAAATTCAAACTAACGAGTTGAGTTTTAACTTATATAAATGATGCAGGTCTCAACTGAAATGTAGCTGTTGTAGAATTATATTTAAAAAAAAAAATAGAGTAAAAGGAATAAAACCAACCACTTGAAATGGTATAATTTTAATACAACACAGAGTGTCACTCTAGTATACATAACTTTACTCATTACTTCTAAAGCATATTTATTCAAATGGAAATAATATCAATCTTCTCCTGATTTATGATCCTTGACTACTGAATTAGAAAGTAGTTTATGGGAAAGTACGCCAAGCATGTTATTTATGACTCAATGGCATGAAGAGCAAGTAATGTTACTATTGGTTTTAATGCTTGGTTTGACTTTCAAAAAGTGAATGATTATTCAATTTTGTGTTGTTTTGTGCCATTATCACCTAATACTTAAAAATATATGTTATAAAATCAAAACTCTTAGAGCCATGCAGAATCTTAAGAGCTCATTTGATCCAACCTCCTTGTCTTTCAAATTATGTGACATCTGAGGCCCCCAAATTTTAAGAGACTTGCAAAATGTCACAGCTAGCTTATAGTTAAGGTAAGACTTGAGCCGTCTAGGGTATTGTTTTAGTCTGCAAATTCAGGGACCTTTTATTTTTGTCTTAGGATTTAAAAATTATGTGTGTTACCAAAAAAAAATGTCCTGCCTAAGTAGGGAATTCATTCAATAATATTTATTACATGTCTGTTAGGTGCTGTGAATACAATGAAGGGTAAGATATATTTTGTCCCATGTCTCGTGAAGCTTACACTTCTGTGGAGTAGGCTAATACAAATAAGAAATTAACAATTGTGATAAATGCTATAAAATAAGGAGGTCAGATAGAAGAATAATAGAGGAGCACCTACTTAAGATAGGTAGTCAGGGGTCTCACAGAAAGTGGCATTTCTTGCTAGATGTGAAGGACGCCTCCATGTGAAAAATGCATGGAAAGAGTAGTCAGTAATAGGAAGTAAGTTGCACATGCAATGGTCCTGATCCCATCCATGTTTTAAATTTATTTATTTATTTTTTTAAAGATTTTTATTTACTTATTTGACAGAGAGAGACACAGCGAGAGAAGGAACACAAGCAGGGGGAGTGGGAGAGGGAAAAGCAGGCTCCCCGCCGAGCAGGGAGCCCGATGTGGGGCTTGATCCCAGGACCCTGGGATCATGCCCTCAGCCAAAGGCAGACCCTTAACCGACTGAGCCACCCAGGGGCCCCATGTTTTAAATTTATTTATAGCTTCATATATATC